ACAACTTTATATTTTGTCAACATGCCGCGTTAATATTGCTCGGTTTATGGTTGTCACAACTCCTTTGACAAAGACGGACTGTATTCACACTGGTAAGGAAATATTATTTTGTGCTTAGATATCATTCGAGAAGTTTTTTCTGCAAATGACAATGTAAAGCAAACGGTAGTTATGTTTTGTTCACGTGCATGTGTCACCAGCTTTTCTCGACTGTGGCTTCTTTTCTGAGGTTTTTGCATGCAGTTTGTTTCATTCAAATATTATATTTCCATTGTTCCTTGTGATGTTCTCGTGTGCGTTTTTCCTACCTACTGTACAGTGTATTTTATAGGCCTGTTTGTATTTATGAAAGCATATTGTTATTGAATTTTTTCCCTTCACATATTTAAGCATTCCTGATGCAAAGAAGCATCCAGAGTTGTACAGCATATGGGTTGAGTATATGAATAAACATGCGACAGTGAAGTCTGTTCCTGCGAAAACTGATGCAAAGAAGCATCCAGAGTTGCACAGCATATGGGTTGAGTATATGAATAAACATGCGACAGTGAAGTCTGTTCCTGCGAAAAGTAGCTATAGTCGTTTGTGTTCAGATCACTTTAGTGCTGATATGTATGAGATAAAGGGGAAAAGCCAGAAATTAGTATTGAGACCGGATGCTAATACCAACAATAGTTACACAAAGGTTTGCTCAGGTCATTGGTGCGATTTAAAGTGTTAAAGTGTTATATGTAACAGTGTGCATGAGTTACATTCTTTGCTAAGGGACAAGTCATTATTAATGCCGGGTAGGGGGCTGGAGGAAATTTTTATGAATAGCAAAAATTTTTCATCACCCCTTATTTTTCTAACAAACTATTTTATCCCCCCCCCCCCCCCCCCCCCAATTCTAAATTCAATTACTCTAAGTCAGTTTCGTAACCATTTTTCCTGCCCTCATACTCAGTTTACTTGCAGATGTAAAGAATATTGTAAATATTGAAAATAAAGAATATTGAAAATGATAGCCAAGTACTAGATAATTCAGACTTTATACCTGAAAAGTTGTTGGTCCTCAAACAAAAAAAAACACAAATCAGACCTACTTTTACTAATTGAAAAAAATACATTTGTGTCTGGTGGAAGCATTACTGTATATTGAAGAGATGGCAGAAGCGACTGTCAACAACATGCAGAAACAGAACATGCAAAAGAGGTCCACTGTGTTAAAAGCAGGACAACAACTGTCAACTGAATCTTGCATTTGCAAATGCAGTGCATGACCCTTTAGACAAATTCTTTGGTGATGATGAGGATGACAATTTCCATATACAGTGCCTAGAACACAACTTTTAGGTTCAATATATTGGGCATTACTGTTCAATGTATGTATACTGTATATATCCATCACTCTTTTGATATTGCATGTTACAAACTATAGATTTTATTTCCCCCCCCCCTTTATGTTCAAAATATTTTCTGCCCCCCCCCCTTCACTGGTCAAAAATTTTTTGTGGCCCCTCTATATTAAAATGTATTGTACATTTACTAGGAATGGTATGCTGGATGTGTTTTAAAAGAGGGCATACAAAAATTGTGTGCCCAAATAGAGCAAAAACCCACTCAGACAGTTGTTCAAGAACAACATAATTGGCACAATTGCCATGATATTAAATTCACTAAGTAACTTTATATACCAAATAGAGCAAAAACCCACTCAGACAGTTGTTCAAGAACAACATAATTGGCACAATTGCCATGATATTAAATTCACTAAGTAACTTTGTGTATGCCTATAATGTGTGAATGTTGTGTGAGTGTTGTGTGTTAATTTTAATTTATTTATTAGGCCATTAATAAATATTCTTGGTTTGAAAAATATTTTAGGGGGGGATGTCCCCACTGCTGGTGCCACCACTGGAAATATCAGCTAATTATAGCCAGCATAGCTTCAATAAAATATATTGAAGTAAATATGACATCAAGTACTCTTTTATTAAAAGCGATAGCTATGTGCGTGTTTCACTTGTATCATTTGGGACAACCCGAGAATACCCTTATGGAATTAACAAAATAAAACATGGGTATGAAACCAAGAATACTTATTGATGGCCTGTAATAGTAATATAATAATATTGTATATATTTTTAAATTAAACTTTTTAAATGTTGAATAAATCTAATTTGTAATGAAAATTAATAATGCACATAAGAATATGTTTAATAAAATAATATATAATTATTGTTTGGTGTGCTAGATCTTTAATTAACTAATCTTTTGCCTGGTCAAACAATATGATTCTATTGCCATGAATTGCCATCGAATATAACAATGATTCCAGTGACAAACGTAGAGCCATATACATTTGGGTATTTATTAGTGCAGATTTACTTTCCCCATAATGTGCACAGCGTACATTGTGAGTAGACATGATCAACAATGTGCAGTTTCCATAATCTGAAAAATACAAACAGCAGTAAATATTTAGATGATACATGCATAAACCGACATAAGTTTCGTTTCAACAAAGCATGGCTGTGTTCACAAATTTATACATTAAAATTATATGTATAGTAGAAATGCAAAAGGAACAACATACTTTTTATACAATTTGAAAGAGAATTATGCACATATCAACAGCCTGCCCGGGGGGTACACCCTGGGACAACTGGGGGGAAACGAGGGGGAATTTGGTATTTTATCTGTGTGTTCTGCCTGTGAACCCCGGGGAGATTAGGGAGTGGTCATTATTTATGGGGAGGGGGGGTGTTGGGAAATGGGGAAAATAAGGATTGGAAACTTTTTTGACCCCCCTCCAGACTGAAGGCAAACTTTTTGTGTCTCCCCCCTCATAAAAGTAGAAACTTTTCTGACCCCCACCCCCCAGTGTGGATTGAAAAATTAACAGCAATGAAACAGGTGTGCATTGCATGTAAAGTTAGATATTAGGACAATCTGTTTAATATAGCTCATGATGTTTTACCCTGGTGAATATGATTCAACCATATGTGATTAAAAATATATATTATGTGTTACTACTTTGCAATGCAACATTTGTCCCACCATAACCCTAACCCATGACCCGTCTTCATACAGCAAAATGATTTGAACACAGCGTTTTTTTAAGAACTTGTCTGGGCACCAACCATGGTAGTGCCTCGCAATCATGGGAGTCGGGCACACTAAGTTTAACAAGCTTGCTACCCCCTGAGTGACCCAGTTGTGGTATTTACATAAACATACCATGCAAATACACTTAACTGATCAGATTCGGTCTATCAACACACAATGTAACGTTGTATATCCAAAAATTTGTTTCAGAAAATGCTTACATTTCAGTTCTAGGGGTGGAAAAATACAAAACATTTTCTGGGGGAGAATCCCCGGACTCCCCTACTAGTACATACAATACCACACCAAACTTTTTGTCACCAACAACCATCTGTCATCTCTCCGCACTCAATATAGTATGGTCCCTTTTTGTAGATGTCCACCCCAGAGCAGGGAAATTTTGAGTATCTAGATTGTTGGAAATAGCATTTTCAGAGTCTTCTTTTTTGCTATTTGTGATTATAGAAATCAGAACTCTAGACATGGTATTTAAGTTCAAAAACTTTTATGACCCCCCTCCCCTTTCTCTGTGTTAAAACTTTTTTGACCCCCCCTATTTATAAGGGTAAAACTTTGTCCCCCCCCTCCCATTTCCCCCCCTCCCATAAATAATGACCACTCCCTTACAAACTTCGCAATAATAGGACGATGGGGGGAGGGGAAGTAGGGGACTTTGACGTGACAATTTGAATTTTATAAATGAAGTACATGATTGGTGTGAACTCAAAATCACAGGCTCACACAGAAAAATATCGATCGGCAACTTATTATTTATGATATTTTGTAGTGGTCTTGCTAAAATTTGAATAAATAAATACGGAATACACGAGTGCCATTGTGATACCCCAGTTTGTATAATAATTTTTAATTGTTTGTATGCTATTTATATTATGAACTACTTTATTGTAAGCCCAGGGGGAGGGCAGTTTGACTTACACATTTCCCGGGGGAGGGAGGAGGAATTAATGCATTAGAATCATGTTTTTGCAAAGTCCCGGGGGTGTACCCCCAGGGCCAGGCCATTGATATGTGCATTATATACAAGTAGTAATCGAGTTGAAATATTATACAATAGTAATAAATTATAGTATATTTCAATAAATGAATGTATGGTACAGTACAAGTGTTTCATTAAAATTTTGAAAAATGCCTCACCTGTAGTGCTTTTCAGCTTTTGTTGTTTATTTATTAACATATGGAAACAGAATCACCATAGTCCTCGAACTTTCAAAAGTTTGTTTCCCATCATGACAATTATTTCAATTTCTTGTTAATTTAGTAATTTATTACTCATTTTCTACGGCTCCACACAAAATACTGTAGGTCTGCACCTACCGATACTCCAAAAGCATACATGCGACATGTGCAAAAATACCACCATTCGTTCAGCTCATTTATATTATCTGTTTGGATCATCATTTATACATTTCACAGCAGAAATTGTGGAGATAGTCGCTCGAATGAAGTAATGATCCAGCTTGAACTTGATAGTAGTTGGTAAAGTTCAGAAGAAACCTTTTACACCTATATGTAACTATAAATATTTACTAATTTCAAATCTTCTCCAATGTACTCCTTTTTAAAAATTATAAAGATCAGTGGCTCTCTGGTCAGGGGGGAGTGGGAAATGTCGCCCGCACGCATTTGAGCTGTGGTCAGTTAACGTACCATGAGAATAGTGGACGTGGAGCTCGAAATCCGCCATGTTTTTGCGGACACTTTTGATTTGCGAGCACGATCTCCAGATATAGATATATATAAAAAAAAAAAAAAAATGGCCGCATTTCAAAATGGCCGTCGATTGTTTTCGCTGATTCGTTTTTTATCGTATTACTGTTGTTTCGTGCATTTTTCCGGTTTCATAATCTAAAAATTATTCTAAGTAACTAAAGAAGCTTTTTTCGAGTAAAATGGGTGATCAATCCGTTTTGGGGGAGGCGACAAGTGCGAAAAGTGAAGTTTTTCCAGAAGAGCTAGGGAATGACGAAAATTTGCCTCCAAACGACGACATGGTGTTTGAAGAGGTAGAAAAATCCAGAAAAAATGATGGATATGAGTTCCTGATTGCTGAATCTCGGTTTGATTTTTGGATAAAAGCATTGATGTTAAGGTATTGGGTGGATTTTGGCAACCAATCAAAATATCGAGTAAACTGGCTTAGGAAAACACATCCACTTGATGAAAACACAATTGTTGAAATCATTATTCATGTTAGTAATGTTCCAGGCGATGCTTCTAATGCTGATGCTACCGATAATCCACCGTTATTTTCAATTACAATATTGGCGATCGAGAGAAAGGTTGAAATCTCCCAGAAGTATACTCTTGTATGGAAAAATACGGAGTTTCCTAAACTAAAAAGTTTAGTAGATAGGCTTCAAGTTAATAACGAACTAGATGCTGATACGATTAGAGATGACTATGCTGATATTTTCCAAGAGTCAGAAGATGCCGAAAGTTTAAATTTATCATCGCTGGATCTTTCGGAAATCTTATGGGACGTTTCACTTTTGTCCACCAACGAGAATACGACAAAGAGTGATCAACCAAAGGATAAATCTATTAAAGTCAAATCCAAAGTTAAAGGGTCAAATAAAGTACGTGTAAAACTATTATCAAGCCCAGTTTGTAAAAAGAATACATCGAAGACAAAGGTGCCCGCAACACCATCAGCAAAGGTCGCTAAACAACAAATCATTAACATAAATAATATACAACAATGTGCGCAACGTGTGTCAAATCTCGAAAAAGTTGTTGCACGTATCGATAAGGAGGCGGTGAACTCCGACGCCAAATTAAGTGCTCTTAGCGATACCCTTTTTCAAAGTTTGGCAAATAGAGTCCAAAATGAAATGTCAATTCTGAGGAAAGCTTTCGACGAAAAAGTTTTGCAATACGGTGAACGTACTAATAAAGCCGAATTGGAAGTAAAAAAATTGAAAGGACGGCTTGGATCGCTGGTTGAAGAGAAGAATCAATTGGAAAAGTCAAATAAATCATTATCAGACCAAGTCGAAGAATTACAAAATAATACAAAAGATGATGCAGTGCAGAGAGAATCGGGACGTGCCGTTCAGAACGAGCTAAGCGCCAATGTAACGGACAGAAATGAACCCGAAGTCCTAATAACTAAAGAAGAAAGTGGTTCCATACCAACTAAAAAAGCCGATCCTTCAGAAAGCGGTGATTCCAACGAGCAAACTGTTGAGAACCAAGGAGGAAAAAAGATGATTGATCAAGGAAGCCCGGAAGAGTACGATTTTGTCTTTCTATGTGATTCCAACAGAAAATTCATCAACACACAATTGTTATGTCCTAACAGAACGGTAAAAATCATCCCCTGTGGTACTTCCAGTCAAGCAATTAAAATTATGTCTTCACCACGTTTCCAGGTAAACGAAGCGCTTATAATAAATACAGGTGTTAATGATGTTGAACACTTAACGTTAGATGAGGTTATTCAGAAGCAGTTAGAGATGATAGATACAGCTAGAAAGGCATTTCCGGGAAAAAAGATCATTGTTTCGAGTGTTACTCCACGAGATGACGATTTCGATGAAGACATTCGGGCAATAAACCGAGCAATCCAAAGCGAAATTTTAAATTTCAATGATGTCATTTACGCGAACAATGATAACCTACGAGACAGAGCCCTGTATTTTGACCGTAAGCACTTAAATAGAAATCGGGGTGTTCGTAAGTTTGCAGCGAACATAAAAAAAGCAATTAGAATGGCAAGCGGCGTTGTGGACAACAAGCCACGCTACCCATCCTATCATAGTGGTGATCCGCATCCGATCCGACCTGACGATCGTGCTCCATACCCTCACCCTCGTTATTCACCCTACCACAGTGATGATCCGCATCCGATTCGACCCGAGGATCGTGTTCCATACCCTCAACACCGTTATGGAAGCTCCGTAAATCCCCTACTAAGACCAGAAGATATGCGGAGAAAACAGGATAGTATTGCTACACAGCCTATCGAAGTCAGCAAAGAACACGAAACAAAGAAGGAAAATGGAATCAATGATGTCTTTTCCCAGCTAAGTACATTAAATAAATTAGTTAATGTTTTAGTGTCAAGTAACTTGCAGCGATGTAGCATGATGTATCCACAGTCTACAGCTTCTCCATCTTTTTTTCCACGATATAGTTCGGCTGTTAGTCAGACTTCCATACCTTAGTTCTGAAGGTGTTCAGGTACTTATACGTCTCTGGTTATTGTAAGAATTAGTTAATGCAGTTAAAAAAACTTTTAAAATTTTGTTCCTGGAATATTGAAGGACTTTTGGGAAAACTGGATGATGAGGAGTTTCTAACAACAATCAATTCTTTCGATTGCATTACTCTTGTTGAGAATTGGCTAAAAAATGATAGTACAGTAAATATACAAGGTTTTTATTCTTTTTCCAAGTGTAGGCAAAAACATGATAGAGCTTGGAGGAACTCGGGTGGTATAACTGTGTTGGTGAGATCAGAGTTGAGAAAAGGGATCAGATTTTTTTATAAAGAAAGTAATGAACAGTTTATTTGGTGGAAATTAGACAAAGATTTTTTTCACATGAAACGAGATTTGTTTATATGTAGTGTTTATATTCCTCCGCAAAACTCGCCTAGAGAACGTCGTCTAGACCGCGACCATTTTCAATCTCTTCAGGAAAATATTTACAAATTTTCAAAATTAGGGAGCATAATATTATGTGGCGATTTCAATGCTAGAATTGGTGATTTAGATGATTGTACAAAAAACACGTCAGTTTTAGAAGATTTTTTCCCATCTACTTGTCCTCCTAACGGTTCAATTGAAATGGAATCACGCAACTCCAAAGACAATCACTGTAATTCATATGGGAAACTATTGGCCGAGTTGTGTTGCGGGAATGATTTAATTCTGCTAAATGGTAGAACGAAGGGTGACTATATCGGTCAATTTACCTGTCAAACATATAATGGAGCTAGTGTGGTTGATTATACTATTGTCTCTTCAGAGGTCATGAGGGAAATTAAATATTTTACTGTCTCTGAAATCACACACTTCTCGCATCATTGTTTTCTTTCCTTCGGTTTAGAAACTGAATCTTATTTACCACTAAGGACAGAAAAAACTTTACAATTGTCGTCACTTCCTATGTCTTTTATGTGGAATGATGCTCTAAAAACTACTCTTAGGGAAAATCTCAGTAATACCTGCATTTTGAATAAAATGAATACTTTGTTTCAATCTCCACAAGATCAGGATGTGGATTCATTAGTGAATGAATTTACATATATTATTATTAAAGTTTCGAAAAAGGTTATAAAAATTAAAAATAGACGATTTACTAAAAAGAAACAAAAAAGTACAATGCAAAATAAAAAATGGTTTGACAAGAGTTGCCACGTGTTAAAAAATGAGCTACGAAACTTGGGTAGCTTGCTTTCAAGATTCCCTGATAATAATTTTTTACGACATAAATTTTTCAGTACAAAGAAGGAATACAAACGACTCGTCAAACGATTAAAAAGAAATTTTAAAAATGAAATGTTAAGCAAAATTTAATCTATGGAAGAATATAATCCAAAAGAGTTTTGGAAATTGGTAAAGTCTATAAAATCAAATAATTCCAATCGTATAGAGGATGAGATTTCACCCGCAGTATGGTACGATTATTTTAAAAATTTAAATGAGAAAAAAGTAACTACCGAAAATTCCAGAAACGAGACTCAATTTGTCAGAGATTACCGACTTTGGGCAGCTAAATCTGATAATACTCTAGATGCACCGATTTCGGTAAATGAAGTTTGCGCATTAGCGAAGAAGCTTAAGAACAAAAAGAGTAGTGCTGGAGACGTAATAAGCAATGCAATTATTAAAATTGCTGTGGAAATTCATGCTACTAACTTTGTTAAACTTTTTAATCATGTTTTATATCACGGAATTTTCCCACGGAGTGTTCTCATGGACTCAAATCTTTCATGGAAATTTCATATTGGGTACATCGCCTCTAATCTTAGCAAACGAATTGACATAATTGCTAGGCTGCGTCATTTTGTACCAGTTAGTACTCTAATAAGTATCTATAAGTCCCTTATGCTGCCTTACCTAACTTATGGTATCGTTGTATGGGGATGTGCTGCCAAATGCTACATTGATAAAATCCTTAAACTCCAAAAACGCGCTCTTCGTTTAATATATTCTGCACTATCTTTCTCATGCCATTCCTTATTTTCAGTCAGCTAATGTTCTGCCAATAAATTTGCTTTATTACAAATCAGTATCAATACTAATGCATGACGTATCAAGAACAGTAGTACCCCCAAATATTTTGGCTTTGTTTACCCCATTAAGTCAGGTACACGAACACAACACCAGATCTTCCACTAGGAAGAACTTCCACGTTGAATATTTAGGTTTAGACGTGCAAAGCAAATCATTCTCAAGAATGGGAGGTAGAATTTGGAATAGCATTCATACAGAACTACGTGAAAAACCAAAGAATCACTTTAAAAAAGTTTTACATAGAAAGTTACTTCAAATATTAGAAAAGAAAGACGATTATATTGATATTCTAACAATACAAAAAGAAATCGCAATAATCTAAAAGTTAAATTATTTTACGATTTTGGATTTAAGTCTGATCATTCGTTAGAGATTATGTTTGTAAATATGGTGAATGTATTTCTATCGTATGCCTTTTGGTGATGAATAGTGCTTGTATTTACTAAATGAATTTTGAAATCTTCTTTAATTCCGAATGTGTGTAGTTGCTGTCCACCACGATTAGCTTTTGCTATTTGTGGACAGCAAGATTTTTTATTGATTTTGTAAATTAGTTTGACATAATAAATTGAATTGAATTGAATTGATGGTTTAAGAATCTTTATGGACAATAGTAAAATCGATATATTATCTATAAATGAAACGAAGTTAGATTCGTCCATCGGCAACAGTGAAATCCATCTTTCAGGCTATGATGTTGTTAGGCTAGACCGTAAGGTTAATGGTAGAAATGGTGGTAGGCCTACTCTGGGGCGGTAAATCGCCTTAAATCGCCGCGAGATAATGCGATTTTGGGCGATTTTAGGCGATTTAAGTAAAAACTGGGGCTTTCAAGCACTGCGATTTAATGCGATTTTAGGCGATTTAAGAAACAAATCTTAAATTTTAGGGATTGCAATTTCAGGTGTTTTCAAGGTACCAGGACATTTTGCCGAAACTGCGATTTAATGCGATTTTAGGCGATTTAAGAAACAAATCTTAAATTTTAGGGATTGCAATTTCAGGTGTTTTCAAGGTACCCGGACATTTTGCCGAAAGACACTTTGCCGAAAGACATTTTGCCGAAAGACATTTTGCCGAACGGACATTTTGCCGAACGGACGTTTTGCCGAATGGACATTTTGCCGAACGGCCATTTTGCCGAATGGACAGTTTGCCGAAAGGACAACTTGCCGAAAATAGAGACGCTATTTCGTCAAAATGTTTGGGACTGTGCCTCATTTCTCAACTTTGTAATTTCCAACCTTTATGTAAAATAACCATTATATGGTCATTAGCAGTGCATAATGGTCGTTAGCAGAACATAACCATATTGACTATTGGCAGCTTGTTTGTGCAGCGAATGACTCATTTGCTAGAAACGTGTTTTGACGTCAGGTCGTAAACAAACAAGCGTATACGAAGACAACGACGTAAGCGAATTTCACTTCGAGAATCATGGAATACATTCGCAGTTTTCGGGGAAATCGCATTCATGAATGATGTAATTGAATGTTATTCTTTTTATCGCGAAATTTCGGTAAACTTGTCAAAAACTTGAAAAAATATAAAACGAAACTATCTTCACTATCAAAGTTTCTGTCATCACAAAATCGCCAATGACTTTAATCACAGAAATTTTGACCGTGTAAGCAAACCTATAAAGTTCAGAAGATATCTCTATTTTCGGCAAACTGTCCGTTCGGTAAAATGTCCTCACTATCAAAGTTTCTGTCATCACAAAATCGCCAATGACTTTAATCACAGAAATTTTGACCGTGTAAGCAAACCTATAAAGTTCAGAAGATATCTCTATAATTCGGCAAACTGTCCGTTCGGTAAAATGTCCGTTCGGCAAAATGTCCGTTCGGCAAAATGTCCGTTCGGCAAAGTCGACAAAATGTCCGTTCGGCAAAATGTCTTTCGGCAAAATGTCTTTCGGCAAAGTGCCTTTCGGCAAACTGTCCGGCCACCGTGTTCAAGGTAATTGAATTTTGTATTTTGCTCCGGTTCCTCCCACAGGACAAAATTGGCAGGGTCGTGGGTTAGGATAGACACAGTTAGGAAAGTAATATCATATTCTCATTGTTGTAAAGATAAACAGTCTGGGCTAACATAAGTAATCATAATACTTGATGTAATCGGTCACTGAAAAGCCCCAATGGGGAGCGAGTGAGCTGAATATGGTAATGTTTCCACACACATATGCATTGTATGAAGCAACATACAATTATTAGAACATGTATGCACATTTTATATAAAGCTAGCTAGGTTAATTAATTATTGTATTTAACCTGAATCATATATAAAGCTAAATATTCATGAACTTTTCATCCATGTGGGGTCATGTGGTTATTCATGGCTACATTATATACCACAAATATTGTAAACAGTTAATAAATATACTCTACTTTAATAAGGGGCATGTACGGTACATAATTGCAATATGCCAACCTATAACTAAACTACACATGTCTTAAACTTTAATATTAGTAATTTATGTTGAATTAGAATTGTAAATATAATATTTGATTTCCAAAAGGGTTAACCACAGCTCACAGGGGGTAAATATTTATACAGTAAATAAGCTATAATCCTATAAATTACCTTGTCACCCTTGTAATTGAAATTGTCTTGTTTTGTATCTTGTCAACACTTCTTTATTTAGCTTGCATTTTATTTAAACTGTTTCAATCTCGTGCTTTCTTCATGCTATACAAACATGTTTTATAAAATGTTTGATATCTATATCACTCACAAGTCTATATTCTAATATTAAATGGTATAGGAATTCTAAATTATTTAAAAAAATTAATCAAATGGCGCACTACATGTACATCGTGGTTTTAGGTCATATTTAAATTTGTTTATTTAAAACAAACAACAACAAAGATTGTATGGTATGTACGATGTAATCATTGTTTTACTGTTTATTTTATATACAGGTCTGGTAAATTTAATAGATGAGAGTTGCAAAACTTGCAAATAAGGCTCATATAAACCTCACGTATGTTTTTCGTTTGATAGCCAATATAATTATAACTAGGAGCTAGAGTATAACCGTGCACATGTCGAAGTACAACCATACAATGCAGTGCTCGATCTACATGCAACAGTGCACAAATTGCATCTTATTATGACCTCATTTACTTATTATATAAAATTATAAATCAACAATCATACTCATGCATTGACTCTCATATAGCCTCCTACTGTTGTTCTAACAGCAATTAGGCTTTGAGAAGCCATGTATATTATAGATTAATTTGTAGCCCAGCCTCCATAGTCCATATAAATTGTAGCCCAGCCACCACACCAATTATGAAATTAACTAGTAACTGAATTTTGTTGCCGGTAGTGTATATGGGATCTATGGGTCTAATTTTAGATCACAGAATTGCCTAATTATTGTAAAGTCTGCATGCATAAAGCAGAAAAAGGCTCTGTCTTTATCAATGACCTGGCCTATTGAGTGACTAAATATTGTCAGCCTAATCCACTTATTTGATTTATCCATGTTGCATTACTTTTGATTGCAAAACACCTGGATAATTTACATGATTTGCCAGCAAAATAGCAGCAATTGATGAACTTGAGTGCATAGACTGAATGCATGTTGGCGATTTAATGCGATTTTAAGCGATTTTAGGCGATTTAAGAGAAATTTGACAATTTTAACCCGCGATTTAATGCGATTTTGGGCGATTTAAGGCGATTTACCGCCCCAGAGTAGGCCTTGGTGGTGGTGTTTGTATGTATATACGAAGTAATCTAAACTTTCGAATTCGTGAAGATCTGGCATATAATGATCTTGAAATCCTAATAATCGAAATTTCTAATCCTCGTTCAAGGCCGTTTTTGGTGGGTACTTGGTATAGACCTCCAAGCTCGTCCCAACAATTATTTACTTTATTCGAGGAAATTATCGATAAGATAGATGCTGAGAATTCCGAACTGTATTTACTTGGAGATTTGAATTACAACCTATTGTCAAACACACCAAATTCCAACACGTCTGAGCTTTTGAATATATTTGATATTTACAATCTTTCACAGACAATTTCTGAACCTACAAGAATAACTAATACCTCACAAACATTAATCGATCTATGTATATTACCAATAATCTTGATAAAGTAAAAGCTTCCGGTGTTCTTTCTCTTGGTATAAGTGATCATTCCCTGGTATACCTTATTCGGAAATGTACATATCATAAGGCACCGGTAAATACTTTTGTTGAAAAGAGAAATTTCAGTAACTTCAATGAGCATGCATATTTGAATGATTTAAATAATCTAAATTGGGAGCAGGTTTGTCTGCATAACGACCCTAATGATATGTGGACTGAATGGTTGAATTTGTTTATGTCTGTGATTGATAAACATGCCCCACTTAAAAAGAAACGTACTAAATTCGATATTACACGTGACGATGAAATTTGGTTACAATATAAGAAAGCTCGAAATGAAACTAACAACACTATTAGGCAGGCTAAACATAACTACTTTATCACTATTATTGAGGCTGCACACGGGCAATAGGACAGGTGTAGTGTTGTTAAATAGAAAGTTAGAAATGGTATTATACTTACTCATGCATTATAATTATGTTTAAAAGATCAGAATATTCATAACTTCTTATTTTGTTTCATAAATAGTTCTTTAATATTCGAAACAAATTCCATATCTGCTTCGTCTGCCATCACCATGTTTACTCGTCCCAATCTACATGCTGCACGGCATTGCCGCCCCTCCTGGCAAAATAATAAGCAAGCGAGAAAAATTAAGGAGAAAATAAGAGGGTAGGAACATTGTGGGCGTTTCGTGGGCGTGTCATCGTTCTGGGCGAATCAGCTTTCTCAATCTTGTATCAGATGACTAATTCAAATCGTCATAGGCGGGAAGCAGCATTACACGTCATCCCTACGTCAAATAAAACGTTATAAAACGCGTCGTGGATACGTTTGTGCCATATATGGAAGTTATGGATACGTTTGTGCCATATATGGAAGTGTCACTGCATCCAGCTTATGACAACGATGTTCCTACCCTCTTATTTTCTTCTAATTTTTCTCGCTTGCTTATTATTTTGCCAGGAGGGGCGGCAATGCCGTGCAGCATGTAGATTGGGACGAGTAAACATGGCGATGGCAGATGAAGCAGATATGGAATTTGTTTCGAATATTAAAGAACTATTTATGAAACAAAATAAGAAGTTATGAATATTCTGATCTTTTAAACATAATTATAATGCATGAGTAAGTATAATACCATTTCCAACTTTCTATTTAACAACACTACACCTGTCCTATTGCCCGTGGGCTGCACGAAAAGATCCAAGGAAAACTTGGAGACTAGTCAACGATCTGAACTCTCGTAAAGTGAGTGATGTAACCAGTGTCAAGAAAGTCAATCTTGACGGTAATGAAATCACTAATGCGGCTGAAATTTCGGATGCCTTTAATTCATATTTTACCTCGATAGGAGAGAAACTTGCGAACAAAATACCTAGCTCTAATAATGTTAATCCCGTTTCTTATATTCAATCCACATATATATATATAGTGTGTTTTCTTTCGAGGAAATTGGTTTGTGCACTGTAAATTGTTCGCTAAAAACGATTAATGCTAACAAAGCGACCGGCCCTGATAAAATTCCAGGTAGATTATTGAAAATAGCCGCTGATATTTTTTCACCCTCGTTAACCAAAATTTTTAATAGATCGCTTTCTATGGGGATTTATCCGACTGATTGGAAAATGGCAAAAGTCTTACCTATATTCAAAAATGGCGAAAAATGTGATGTAAGTAATTATTGTCCAATTTCAATTATATCGGCGGTTGCCAAAGTTTTTGGTAGAACCGTTTATGACCAATTTTACTCCTATCTGACAAGTAACAACTTACTGTCGAACTATCAGTCAGGGTTTCGAGCATCATATAGTACCGTTACAGCTTTATTAGAGTCGACTAATAACTGGTGCGTAAATATTGATAAGGGTTTGCTTAACGGAGTGATCTTCATTGACCTCAAGAAAGCTTTCGATACCATTGATCACGAAATTCTTATACGTAAACTCAAGTGTTATGGTGTGGATGAAAATGCGCTATCGTGGTTTAATTCCTATTTAAACAATCGAAAACAGAAATGATACGTAAATGGCAAACTCTCTGGTAGTCGTTCTATCTCCCATGGAGTTCCGCAAGCTCTATTATAGGCCCACTTCTGTTTTTGATCTATATCAATGACTTGCCTAACTGCTTGAACGAGGGTTTACCTAGAATGTATGCTGATGATACGAACATCAGCATGCAAAGTAATAATCTTTCTGAGCTAGAAAATCTTATGAATGCTGAAATAGCCAATTTAAACACATGGCTAGAGGCAAATAAGTTAAGTTTAAATATTGCCAAGACTGAATTTATGATTATTGGATCTCGTCAAAGACATTCAACCTTTGATAATCAGAATGTGGAAGTATGTGTTAACAATAAACAGATTAATAGAGTGCTGAAGTCTAAGTTATTATGTTTAACAATTGATGAGAACTTGACTTGGAAATATCATGTTGATAATATCACCAAAAAAAGTCTCTTCGGGTATCGGCGCTCTGAAACGAATGAGAGATTTTATTACCACAGAAACTGCAATTCGAGTTTACCAAAGTTTGGTGGAGCCCTATTTTTCCTATTGTGCCCCTGTTTGGGATGGCCTAGGTAAAAAGCAAAGCGAAAAATTACAAAAAATACAGAATAGGGCCGCCCGTGTTATTACCCGTTCATCTTATGATATTTCATCAAGTTCTCTTCTTGAAGAACTTAATTGGGAATCATTGGCCACTAAGCGATTAAAGCAAAAGGCAATCCTCATGTTTAATACTATTAATAAACATACACCATTCTATTTACAAGAGATGTTTTCTCCCAGTGAGAGTGTTTATAACCTGAGAGATTCTTATGGTAAACTTTATGTCCCAAAACCACGCACAGATTATTTTAAACGCTCCTTCAGTTACAGTGGAGCCTCTTTATGGAATGGCCTGCCAGAATCTCTTAGATCAGTAACCTCTCTCGCTGCATTTAAGACAGGTTTAGAAGCCTTCTTAATAAATAATCGATCTGACTCCCACACGGCAATCAGGTAGAACAGTATCTATATTTCTTTTTGCTCCTTTCAAAATTTTTTAATATTTTTGTAAATAACTATACTGATGATTTTCCGTGTTTAAATAAAGTTGATGTATGTAAAATCGAGAGACAAATAGTGAGTTGTATAGCCTAAGAAAAGAAAACCTTCAACTAAAAAAACTAAATGATGAGTTTTCCAAAAGAATTAAAATCTTAGCTGTACTCTAGCAGAACTTCAAGACAAAGCAAATTCAGCAGAGGATGAAAAAGCCAGATTAATCACCGCAATTAGACTACTATACAAGGAGAACGAACTAAATCAAGAACAATCAAATGTCAATCAAGCGGATCAAATTAATTCAGAGGAACAACCCGACGTGTCAACAAGTGAATCCGAATATCCAAATCAATAATCGCTTCGCTGGTTTCCGTGTTGAAGAACATACCGAAGAAGTGTCAACCCTGCAAGTCAACGCTGCAAGTCAAGTAACTCAAACGTCAACCGAAACCCGTTAATATCAAATAAACTTACTTTAAATATGACTAAAACTGAGTACGTGTTAGTTGGGTCGAGGCAACGTTTAAGTACTCTTTCTGACAATCCTTCTTTTGAAATAAATGGAATTCCTTTAGATCGAGTTTCGACAACAAAATCACTTGGTGTCTCATTAGACGAAAATCTTACTTGGAGTAGTCATATCAATAAAATGACAAAACGAATTGCTTCTGATGTAGCCTAGGTGCTATTTAGCGGTTAAGGTAATTTGTTTCATTGGAAACATTGCATGTTATTTACCAAGCTCTAATACAACCACATTTTGATCATTGTAATGTCGTGTGGGGAAATTGTGGGAAAACTTTATCTTTCAAACTTCAAAAACTTCAAAACCGTGCAATGCGGGTGTTGACCTTTTCCAACTTTGACGCCGATGCCAATAGCTTATTGGAAAAGCTAGGGTGCGATGAACTAAACCAAGAACGCCAATTTCAAAAGGCGTTGATAGTTTTCAAATCTTTAAATAACCTTGCACCCGAATATCTATGTTCTAAATTTACTAATCGCAATAATGTAACTCCTTATATACTTCGAGACTCCGTGAACAAACTTGCTACTCCTTTACCCC